AGTGAATCCCAGATCAGATGGAACCCAAGTGGAGGGCTGTGAAAGGGAGTCCTGGTAAGTGGAGGCTTTACATCCATGAAAAAGCAAGTGTGTGAGCTGAACTGGGCAGAAAGCCTCCCCCAATTCCTAACTCCAGAGGAGTCGGCATGAACCCCCAGAAGAGGCTTGAGCCTGAAATAGAGGCTGCTCTCCATACCAATTTGCACTCCCCATATCACTAGTAGTGAGGCTTTAGGGGTTTAAAAAAATTTTTTTTAGTTGATAGCATTCAAAATTGGGAGATTCTACATAAAAATCCTGATTCTTCCCACTCCCCTTTGAAGATGTAGCAACACGAGGCCCGCAATGCCCCCAGGGAAACAATCTAGGCCTGCAGAACAGCCACACACAACTTCCACAACCGTCCACTACTCCCAGGCTCACACAGAGGGAAGACAGTGTGAAGACAGAAGACGACCATCTACGACCAAGGAGAGAGGTCTTCCGAGATTAACCCTACCAACACCTCAATCTGAGACTTCTAGCCTCCAAAACTGAGGAAGTAAATTTCTGGTGTTTAAGCCACCAGTCCATGGTACTGTGTTATGGAAGCCCCAACAAACTAATACATCCTTAGAAACAAATTTGATCTACTTTACTAATTTAATTATCAGACTAGCCCAGAGGCATTTTTCTATAAACTGTTTTAAATTTATTCATTCATTCAATATCTTTTTTTTTTAATTTTTTTTTCAACGTTTATTTATTTTTTGGGGGACAGAGAGAGACAGAGCATGAACGGGGGAGGGGCAGAGAGAGAGGGAGACACAGAATCGGAAACAGGCTCCAGGCTCTGAGCCATCGGCCCAGAGCCTGATGCGGGGCTCGAACTCACGGACCGTGAGATCGTGACCTGGCTGAAGTCGGACGCTTAACCGACTGCGCCACCCAGGCGCCCCTCAATATCTTAATACCTACTATGCTCTAAACACTGTACACTTATTGATTCAAGCCCTTTCTCATGTAAACTAATTTTATTATCTTGTCATTTAACAGCCCACTTCTAATTTTTTCCAACTATTTTCTGCTGGGCAGCTATGTGGCATTCTGTTGTCTGCTGATGCTTCTCTTGATTACTAGAATTAACCTTTTTATAGATGTGTTAGAACAGCATCAGTAACCCTAGTTCTCAACTCTAGATAGAGAAAAGAATCACCTAGGATGTTTCTAAAATACCTGTATCTGGACCAACCCCTTCCCACATTCTGATTTACTTGGCATTTGTACAAAGCTCTGGCAGCATATTTAAGTGTCCCAGATAATTCTAGTGTGCAGCCAAGGCTGAGCACTGTTACTCCCGTTTGAATGGGACTTGAACATCACCTCCTTAGGCACTCAAAGTAGTTCACAAACCACCAGCACTGAAATCACCTGGAATTTTGTTAGAAATGCAGCATCTCCAGGGTGCCTGGGTGGCTCAGTCAGTAAAGCGTCCGACTTCAGCTCAGGTCATGATCTCACAGCTTGTGAGTTTGAGCCCTGCATCAGGCTCTGTGCTGACAGCTCAGAACTTGGAGCCTGCTTCTAATTCTGTGTACCTCTCTCACTCTGCCCCTCCCCTGCTCGTGCTCTGTCTCTCTCTAAGAACAAAACACTAAAAAAAATTAAATAAAAAAAAAGAAATGCAGCATCTCCGTTTCCACCCTGAACTACTGAATCAGAATTCATATTTTAATAGTTTCCTCACACAATTCAGATGTACTCTAAAATTTGAGAAGCACTGGATTTACACTACAATCACCTGGAAAACTTGTTAAGAACATGAACTCCCTGGCTTCCTTCCAGAACCACAGAATCTCATTATCTGCCAAGGGCTTGGGAATCTGAATTTTGTGTATTGTGATATAGCTAGTCACACAAGGGCCTGAGACCTAGGAATCACTCGAGGCCAATGTACACATCCCCTCAACTACCCAGCTTCGGCTTAACCTTCCAATTCTTTTTTAAAAATAAAAAATATAACAGAGATACAGATTTTTATTTTTCCATAATGCATGCAGGCTTACAACTATTTATACTTAGGAACAAAGGAATAATTGCATTATTACCAGGATGTCAAATTAGCAAGTAAGACAACCAGTTACTGATTACTTTTGGGAGATTATTTTTACAGAACACAGCAACAATTACCAAATTATACTTTCAAGACCACAGTTATATCACGAGACCAGGACAAGCTGATGGTATTTCTAACAGTCACACAAGTCTCCATCTTTTACAGGCAAAAAAGACTGATATTCTGGTGAAGGGTCTCAAGTAAGCACCTTATATCAGTCTTTGAAAGATTTACAACACAACAGTCTCTCTCCTGTTGTGATGCAGGGGAAAGACAGCACATTTTCATTTCTTTTTGAGTACTCCCTGTTAATCTTGAAGACTTTCACTTCTAAGGCCCATTTCTAGAACTTCATCAGTTAACATTCAAAGCAAAAAGCAGACCTGATGTGATCATGATAGTGCACCCCACCACTATCACCACCAAAAGAGAGTCCTGATCTCCCAAAGTAGTCAAGTTTAAATTGGCACAGTGTTGGACTTTCCATCAACAATATAGGTGGGGAGAGGAAGATACCAGGTTGATCATAATTGATGTAGCTAGGTGATGGGTACTCAGGGTCCAGGGACCATCCTCTCCACTTCTGTGCATGTCTGAAAATGTCCACAATAAAGAGAAAAACATTAAAAAAAAAAAAAAACAGACCTACTCTGCTACATATTCCCATTAGTGGTAAGATTTTACTTATGGCAAAAATAAGCAGCATATAGCATCAATCTTCCACATACGCAAGGCCACACCTAGAAAAGAGAAAGCATCCAAAGTAACATTATTCTGTTTTGGGTTTCTTTCTGTGATTTATAAAATCCACTAATGATGAGTTAATGACTGAACAAAACTTGGGGCAAACCTACATCTAGGCATTGTAATTGTCCCATGATCCCTTTAACTCTCCTCTCCTCACTCTGGAAAAGGTCCCTCCCTGTCCCCCCCATCACTGAGAAATAGGCATACTCTCCCTGAGGTTTCTTCACCCGTTTCTATCTGCTTCTCCAGGCCCATCTCCACATCAGGTTCATTCCTACTCTGTTTTTGCTGCCACTGCCTTGCCTGGCACATCCTGTATACAATTTTGAGTCAAGGCCTCCCCAGCCCCTGGGGAACTCAGAACAAGGTCTCCCACAAGGAATGGGAGTTACAGTCTTAATGCATCACCCTTAGGGATGTGAAGGAGAAAAAGGGCCTAGCTCAGCTTTTACACCCACTGGGAATGAGCCTTGGTGATCCAGAACAGATTCTGCCCACCCTGACCCCATGCCCCAAGACGAAAGCCTACTCCTAAGGGTATCTGAAGGTAGAAGTAAAGATAGCAAAGGACTGTTGAGGGTAGAAAGCTGGGGAACGAGGGCCAGATGGCCAGAGGCTACCACAGAGGAAGAAACAATATGAGACAACTGGGTCTTATGGGGCACACACAAAAAAGTTGGAACAGGAGTAAACACTAAGTCCACAACATTGCTGCCTTGGGACTTATAATTCTAGCATGTTAGCCATGAAAAGAATTTTCAACTTCAGAATTATAGAGTGCGTCCAGGAGTCGGGACCAAGGTCCGACTACAGACCTTGGCCTTCTGGTTTCCTCTGCCCTCTGTCAGCCCAATGTGTGAGTGTGCACAGCAAGTCCTAGCTCTCTCACTAGCTGTATGCAGACAACCTTGGCTTTTCAGTTGTTTTCACTTTCTGAGCTGTAGTAATATTGAAACAAAAAAGGAAGGAAGGAAGGAAGGAAGGGAGTAGAGGAGTAAGAAAGGAGGACAGGAAAGGAAGGGAGGGAAGAAGGAAGAGAAGTGAAGGAAGGGCAAGTAAGGAGGTATAGAGGTATGAGATAAAGTAGACACAGGCCCATAGATCAAAAATCCCTTTTCCCCACAACCCCACTATAGCACTCTGGTCATATGCTAGCAAGGGATGAGAAGAGTTGACAAAGGTACCTAGATTGTATGTGGGTCCAGTCCTCACTCTCACCTGGAGCCGCAGCACGATGACAGTGAGCACATGTCACATACCCGCCCATCAGTCTGGCAAGCAGTAGGGTTCCTAGAAGGCTGGGGAAGGTAGGTGTGTGTCTCATGCACTGGCAGGGGGCCTTGGTCCACAGGCAGTTCTTGAGGTCCTCATTGACTGGGAAGCCAAGTGGGGCCAATAGCAACCTAGACAAATCTCAGTGGCCTGACAGTGATGGGGTACGGTGTTGACCCTGACGAATGTTCATCATAAGGACCCAGAGGCAGAAAGAGATGCATAATGGTATAGAACACATGGCATTATGCTTCTCACCCTTAACCTCATCCATGCCCAGCAGTCAAGTGCTATTCCACATATCCAGCAGGGCAGCATAGGCCCCTAGCCAAAGCCAGAGATCCAGTAGGTGGTGGAACCTTGGCTGGTGGCCCCAGGGCCTTGGAACAATCAGTTTTGGCTGATGGCCAATACCATGTGTGCTAGCTTCATTCTGCAGTGGCAACAGAAGACTTTGCCACAGATGGCACGCATGGCCAGCATGAACACAAAGCTCAGCAAGTCACTGGCCCTGGAGCAGCAGAGCTCGAGGATGCACTGGTCCTTGTGGAGGATGACTCATGAGTGTCCATGTTAAAGACAGCTGGGAAAGGCCAGAGCCAAGAACACGGTCCAGGCAATGTAGACAAAGGCAGCACACACTTGAAGCATGTGTGCTTAACGTATAAACAGTAGGGGTGAGATCATTTAACGTGTAACACTAATGTGAAAAAAGCAAGGCCACGAGGGGGCCAAAGAACATGATCATAAATACCATATTCTTGTAACTGAAGTCCAAAGGGAATACAGTGCACAGAGGCCAACGTGAAGAGAAGGCAGACGGCCAAACACATGTGGTTAGCTAGGCACAGGTCCAACAGGAGGTAGTAGGGAGACTAGTGCAGGATCAGTTGGACTTGTTTGCCCCAGGCTCAGGGGTCTCCACTGGCTGCCGTGCTGGACCTTGCCTGCCCTCCTTTCCTTTCTCTGCACGGGCCCCTTCACTCATAAGGTAGTACTGCAGGGGATTGGGCCACAGTTCCTCGTTGATGATCTCCACAATCTTGTCAGACTCAATGGAGCTGTGGTTTGAAAACCACCCAAAGAAGCTACGGCTGTTGTCTGGGTTGCCCTGGCTTAACGACTGGAGATCATGGCCCGGGAGCCACTGGATTGGAGTAGAACGAGACACCACCTGACCCGAAGGCCCACACCCGTATTCCTTGATGAGCACCTTATTTTGGAAATAGGGGTTGCGCCCGAAGTAGAACTTGATTTTGTAGCCCAATCTCGCGAGGCCAAGCTCTTCCACCTCCAGGCTGTTCAAGTAGCTGAGAACCTCTTTATCTTGGTTGTTGAGAAAGGATGAGAGCTGGGGGTGGTTCTGAAAAGCCTGCCCCCAGAAACCTGGGATACTCTGGATGAGGAGGTTCCTGCGCTCTAAGTGATGCAGTCGCAACTGCCCGAACTTGCGCGAGAGCCGAAGGTAGGCCCTGTCCGCCTGGGCGTTCATGGTCTCCAGCTTCAGCTGGACGGTCTCCAGCGTATCCATGCTGCCATCTGTCGCCAGGGGCCCTGACCCTGCATCCTTCTCCACCTTCGTTTCTTCTCCCACAGGGGCGGAGACGCTCTCCCCAGTGGCCCCTTTCTTCAGCTTCCCACCAGCTAGGGCCTGAGGTACTCTCCCCGCTGCGCTACAGGTTTCTGAGGCCTTCTTCCCAGCAGCACCACGCCGATTTCCAACGCGGGGGCCATTTTTTGGCCTTCCCACGGTTCCCACGGTTCCCACGAAGACCGTATCTGTCGCTAGGCGCTCCGAGAGGGATGTGGCCTTCCCCAGGCCGGGCCTGGTCGCAGCCTGCCCGCGACCCCCCGCAGCTCGGGCCCGGAGCGCGAGGCCACAATCCAGGGGGAGCCGGCAGGCAGCCTCCTCCCCGGGCCGACGGGGCGGCGCGGGCGCAGCGGTTTCCAGGCCACCCCAACCCGCGCCAGCCTGCACCTGTGCCGCCTGGGTTTCCTCCCCGAGCCTCTGGCACTGTGTTGGGTCCGGGTCGCGGGGGGCGTCGTCAGGAGCAGCGCGAACTCGGGCTTTGCCTCGGCCTTTGCCCCGGTTTTTGGCGCGGGAGGACTTTCTACCCCTACTTCGGCCGCTCATGGTGGTAGCGGAAGCAGCTTCAAAGCCACGCTCCGACCCCGCGGCCCCTGGCGCCAGCTCGCGGTCGCGACTGAGCGGGCCTCTCCATGGCAACCGCCGACGTCACGGCTGTACGACTGTACCCTCGCGCGAGGACGGGCTGCGCGCGGTGATTGGCTCCGCCGCCGCAGCTGCGCACGAGCAGACCCTCACAGACGCCCCCCTCCTCCCTCGCCCCCTACCTCGCTTTGTCTGCTAATGGATGCGTGTGCCGTCCTTCACTTTATTCCCGTTGGTGTCAGTTGTACCCGCTAGGTCTCATAGAGCATGTCTAATTCCTCTCATACAAGACAGCATGGCGACAACTATGACCACGTGTGTCCCCCCATCATCTACTTTCTAAACTAAACATCTTCAGTGCGTCCTATTACCTCGTGTGACATTTGCCAAGATGAAACTGCTATTGGTCCCTGTGTTTTTCTCTTTGAAAGCCTTTGCTGAGGGATTTGCCATGGTGCCTTAACTCCAGAGAATGTAAAGGTAGGTACCGTAGTGCCAGGCCACAAAGCGATTTGATAGGTGGGATGTTACTAATAATTATAAAAATAATTACTAGTATTTTATGAGCATCATTATGAACCAGGTTACGCACTGCATGCTTTATGTGCATTATCTCAATAAATGAGGGAAGCGTTGTTGTCATTCCCATTTTCCAGATGAGAAAACTGTGGCTCTAGGACACCAAGGAATATTCCTGATATTACACAGTAAGGGGTAGAAGCACAATTCAAACCCAAGCCCATCTGACTCCTACTCTGTGCTTTATATTTGCAAGCGGCCAGTCCTTCCAGGGCTGCTCCGCCTGCAAATTACTGCACTGGCTCTTAAGAAAGCCAGCCTTGCTTGTAAAATAGGCATTGGCAGGGTATTCTCTCTTCTGCTTGGTGGCCCTACCCCAAATCCTCTAGCTGCCTCAGGCCTCGTTTACACAGCTGGGCTTTCACTGAAGGTATAGGACCTGTACAGAACTTCTGCAACTGGAGTGAGACAGGAATGTGGTCAGAGAATTTAATTATTCAGGGAGTGCAGCAGCGTTTCCCAAGTTGAAGTTAAGAATCAGAGCCTCCATAGTAGCAGTGAGGAGGCCCTAGAAACTTCTTAGACACTGCATGGAAAAAGCCAGACAACTTAGCTCTTGTTCCTGGAGCAAGTTCTAGACCCTGTTGTTACTAGCCAAGTGATAGGACCTTGAAATAGCGTAGCACGTGCTGAGACCATGACCAAAAAGACAACAAACAAAAACCTTCTGAGGTTATCTTTTCAGGCTCACGGGGAACAAGAAGTCCCTTGCTCCCAGCTAATGGAGAAGTAAGTTCCAAAGCCCCTGGGAACTCAACCCCTCCCTCCTCTTATTTGTCAATGTGTCCTTGTAGACTGGCAGCCTGGCATCACCTGGAAACTTGTTAAAAATGGAGAATTTCAGGCCTTGCCCCAGAAGGATGAAATCAGAATTTGAATTTTAACAGGATCTCAGTTTATTTGTATCCACATTAAAGTTGAAGTATAGGAGACAGGGGAGAAGAGAAATTCTTTTGATACAAACAGGCCTTACTTTAAGCCAGCCCAGTGCAAGTGACCGCTGACTTTCTCAAAGGCTCTGCAATCC